ATAATTGTCAACCAGAAGGAGTAGAGGAGGTGTCGGCCACGTGGCTCTTTGTGAAGACTCAGGTGAAAAAGTCCACCAGTCATGGATGACGAAGAATAATTATCAACCAGAGAAAGCAGATGACATGGCAACCACATGGCATCCTTGTGAAGACTCACATGAAGAAGTCAATCGTCCATTACGAAAAGCTAAACAATGACCCTTTGACAACGCCAGAGGCAGTGTGAACCCTTTAGGACTTATCCTCAAGGTCCTCATGACCACTTTTCTTTAAAAAGCTTCTGCACCATAATAGTGCTCGAAATACTTAAATCAATGAAATATGATTTCCCTGAAGCAAGGATGTAACAAAAAGCCATACGCTATTATTTTGAGAGCAGCGAAAAATTCCCTTTCTTTAGAGAGTATTCTATAGAAGTTGTACAACAAACAGAAAATAGATTTCGAGAAGGATGAATTTTTTCGCGATACATTTCGCCCCATCCCTGCAAATATGAACGTCTATCCAGGCTCCGACGAAGCTGTTTACGGTTCAAGGGGGGAAAAACGCCGCGCAAACATTTCTGGACGCAGCTTAATATCCGGGCGCATCTTCTTCCGAGAGGATGCAGCATCCCATAACCTTTCGCGGCGTGAGAGCTTAAGCAACCGTAAACAGAGCTCGAGAGCTACCCTCGTTTCCTCCGATTCATAAGCTGCGAACAGAGTTGGTCGAAATTCTCATCCCGGTAAAAAATGAATGGAGAATAAAGGAGACCCGACTGGGTCTCTTGTTCGATAAAAATTGAACCACTGAACTACACGACGGTGCGATTACGGCGTCGCCTACGAAACAATCGATTTAGAAATATATATGGCAAATATATGGTTCCGTTTAAAGACATCGTAGGAACCTTGACTTTTGCTAAAGGAAAGTTTGTCCCGACTGTGCTTTTAAAGAATAAAATTCTGCTCGACTCTGGTCGCAAAGGGAAACGGCCGTTGGGAGAGCTTCTAAAGTGAAAGACAAGATGAATCTGGATCGAAAATGCAGCTGAATGGTTCTCCAGCGAGACGCGGCGAGCTGGGCATTGACGATTTCTCGTAAAAAGAACGAGCTTTCGACGTTCAAGAAACCCGTCGGTCGGGCGACAATTAAGAAGAGATCGCCTCTTCGACGCGGTCGTTCGGCTGATGGAACCTTTGAAGACTCGGCTAGGCGCTGAAGCGTTCGGTCTCGATTGATGGATACTCGGAACAGGGAACAATAAAAACTGATGGTTTCTGCCTACCTTTTGTCTGCGCCGTCGCCTCGACCTATCGACGTAACTGGATACAACGGGCAATGGTAACAACAACAATCAACAACAACGAAAGGTGTGTCAACAGTCAACTACCGTGCAAGTGTCGCACGTGATGTTAGGCGAGGTAACGAACGGATGTTAAACGTCGCGAGGGTACATTTGCATATAAAGTCGGGGTGCACGAAGAACAAGGCTAAGAGCGTGATGCATATACAACAGCAGGCGCATTCCAAAAGACGAGGGTGTGAATGGTGAACAGCAAATTTCGGCGTGACTGGTCGATCTGTGGTCCAAGTTTCTCTCTTTTCCTCCTCGAACGATATACAACAACGATATACACGTTTCATCGCGTACCAATCTCTTTCTAACTGCTCCACTAATTTTTCGTTTGCGTTTTAGTAGAATCGTCAACATTTCTTTTACTATATCCAAGAATTTTTATAATCGTTAAAAATTCTTTCGTCGGAAAGAGCAGAGTAGCGACTCTTGCAGCGATAGATAAAGTTTTTCCGAAGCAAGTGAGAGCAGGTCGAGCCGGAGAAAAGGGACCACAGATCGATAGTCGCCGCCCTAAACGGCGCGTGTGGGGCGTTCGCTAATTAGGTAAAAGGGAACATCGATGATGCGTGCTCCAGAGAGATGGGTGAGGGGTGGCAGGAATGGAGAACATACAAAAAAAAAAAAAAAAGAAAGTGGGAAACAAAAGACTCGATGCGCGAGACGGGAAAAATGGCGACGACCGCGGGCGTTTCCGGTGCTTTCCCTTCCGGTTCCGCGTGGGGGAAAGTCTCGGTTGTTTCGTTGCTCGGGATCGAAGATCCCTTCCGTGCTGTATCGTTAGCCGCGCAGACGACGGAAACGTCGCCAACGGAACGTTATTGTGTCCAGAATAACGAAGCAAAAGGGTCGTCGTGTATCAAAAATGGAATTGAAAGAAAACAAGGGGAGGTATCCAGTTCGTTAAGAGATTGCCTTCTGGGGGACAACGATTTCTCAACGTTTCCGATGGCTTCATGCTATGAACTTCATAGTCGGATCGTTTTACGAAATCGACTAATGAAACAGGAACTTTTCGGGCACGAATTTATTCTAAATTAATTAGTGGCAAAAGAACGAACGACTGATTTAAACGATATATTTTGGAGAATATTATATATTTCCGTATAGTAGGCAATTATTTTCACCTCTATTGGTTAAAAATTTCACGTTGATAAATTAACAACTTTGAGACCGTCTCCTTCAGAGAATTTTGCTAATTTGCAAAACAAGATGATTTTACTTCTAAAATCCTCTGTAATTTTGGAAAAAAATCGAATGGAACTCTTGTCGAATCATTGAAATGAATTGCTATTAGTTATGGGTGAATTCTTGGCCCAACTGTGCTTCGTCCCAGGGGAAGCAGGATATCGTTCAATTATCTGAGAATCTTCGATAACCGGTTACGACGTAATGAAAATGTGATATCCTTTTAATTAATTCGTTCTAATCGCGCTGGAGGTGCGGCCATTAGACGATGATAGCTAATTAAGTCAACGGGTAACGGGAACTAATCCGTGGTCGGATACTTGCGTCGAGATCCTTAAAGGGGATCCTACGGAACGGAAATGGGATCCATATGGATCCTCGAGGCAATCTCTTACGCTGAATAGACACTCTGGTTTTTACGTATCGAAGGAAAAGGTTTGGAATTGAAACTGAAGCTTTGGAAGCAGGAATCCATCGAAGGGGTTGGAACGAAATTAATTGGTCACTCGAGATCGTAGATACATTTTTCAAGTGTTCGAGAATAATAAATCCCTCGAGTCAAGTGGAAATAGCCTCGCATCGATTGAAACTTTAGTGAAGATTAGAATAAAATCAAACATGGTAATAATTTACTGTGCTTCATTTTTCAGAAAGAATAAAAGTGGATAATCTGTTGCTAATGAATTAACAATATCGAGGCTTACGGTGGCTAGTCTACCGTGAATCATTTGTTAAAATCCCAGTGCTTATGACAATACGTTATATATGATTTACAGTAGACTGAGCATCAAATCGCCCAATATCGTTAATTTGTCAACAAGAAATAATACCCGCCTGACATTTTCCACATGAATTATATTCGAAAAATAAAGAAGCTCAAATTATTACCATAATTGATTTTGCAACTCTCAAATACACGCAACGAGACCAAATTTATTATTCTCTTTTTAACTCGATGCAATTATACAAACGGTAATTTAAATTCGTTCCTACCGCAGAAGACTCATCCGTCGATACGCGATGGATCTCGAAAATGGACTCGTTATTTGGAAAAGGAGTCTCGACCATATAAATTTTCTACGTTCGAACTACTGGTTTCTCAAAATACTCCTCGGCGAACAAGTTCCAAAAAACAAAAGACTATCGGCAGCCATCGAAGACTGACCAAGCAGACGCTGTAACGAAGAAGGACTCGAAAGGAAAACTGAAGCTGATAAAATCGAGCGTTGTTGGGGGTGTTCGAGTGTACGGAATGCTTCGAAGAGGTCAAGCGAGGACAAGGGTGGGTGTCGTGCTGGTTTTCGTACAATCTCGCGTCAACTCCCGGCCTGGAATATTAGAAGTCTCTGTACCTTCGTCTCGCCGCCGCCCTGGGTGCAAGGACGAGCGGTGCAGCTGCAGGCGATGGGGTCACCGCGGCTGCGGCGACCGCTGCAGCTGCAGCTGCCGATGGCGCCGCCGCTCCCAGCCAGCTCCACGGCATGGCCGGCAACCTGTATCCTGTTTTTGTCAGAAACTGTTAGTTCGTTACATTCCCTGACAACCGGCACGATAATCGTTCGCGTCGTGTCCGTCCATCCCATATCGTGCACCATGGATCTCTGTTTTGTTGCCAGCAATGTTCGTTCGTTTTTTAACCATTTATTCCGCGGTATCATTGCTCATCTACTTCGAACGTTCTTCAGAGCGTGAGATAAAAATGGTGGCCGAGCTCTGAACATATTCTTGGCTGACGAGTCCTCTCGAGTAACCGTTGGAATAAATTTGGTAAGAAAGCGGAGCTCTTCACAGGATTTATTTCAATAGCTAACGAAGAGGCATCGTCGGTCGAAAACATGTTGGTACTATTCCAGTAGATTAGCTTCATTTAAGCTGTAACGCTCGTTTGGAATTCTGATTTTTATATAAATATCTGTCGTTGTGTTAATTTAGAGTCCAAAGGGTTTAGGGCGCTCGATCCACGGTACCGATTAGGGTAAAATGGCAATTTGTCGTTCAGGAATCTGCTCTCGTGACACGTGGAT